GGTAGGGGAGGTGATGGTAAAGGGGAAAGAGCAACCAAAGGACTTACATGCAGGCATAGAGGCCTGACCAATGGACACGGACAACGGGGGGGTGGGGGGTGGAGGGTGATGCGGGGACAGGGACACACATGTAATATCTTAATCAATAAAAAATATATTAAAAAAAATAAACTCAAAATGGATATAGGACTTAAATATAAGTTATGAAAACATAAAACTCTTAGAGGAAATCATAGGCGGCAAAATCTCAGGCATATCATGTAGCAATATCTTCACCGATACATCTCCTAAGCCAATGAAAACTAAGGAGAAAATAAACAGATGGAACTACATCAAAATACAAAGCTTCTGCACAGCAAAAGAAACCATGAAAAAGGTGAAAAGAGAACATATTTGCCTATGATACAAGTAATAAGGGGTTATTTTCCAAAATATATAAGAAATTCATACAACTTAACAAGTGCAAAACAAACAATCCAATTAAAAAATGGGCAAAGGACCTAAATAGATACTTCCTCAAATTGGATATACAAAACACCAAGAGACATATGAAAAAATCCTCAGTCACTAATCATCTAAGAGATGCAAATTAAAATAACAATGAAGTATCAATTCACAGCTCTCAGAATGGCTACCATCAAGAAATCCACAAATGACAAATGTTGGCAAAGATGTGGAGGAAAAGGGTACAATAAAGATAAATTTTAAAAAATTAGCCTGCTATATTTGGTCAAACATTTATTTAAGTCACTTCTAATGCCTTGGCAGGACCAGACCAAATGATTTCGTGGGCCTTATACAACCCTGGAGCCGGACATTCCCTACTCCTGGATAGATAAAGGATTATACATATATACATATGACTATAAAACATTTTAAGTATAGGAAATTAGATGAGCATGATTGTACCTATCATCAATAACATCAATGGCAATGTTAATAGTGATGAAAATATAAGTATAGGCTCTGTAAGTCAGGGCTTATAGCAGAGGCTCAATAAATGCTTGTCAAATTACTGAATGAATGCTATAGGGGACCTTTGTAGAATGAAAGACCATATATACCCATTGATTGGGCATCTTCCCTTAGTACCTGAATTTGTGCTTTTAAATACCATTTTGTACATTTTCTAATAAAAATAAAAAGGGTAGGAAATAAATATAAAATATAGAGGTAAAAAGAGTAGAAAATAAAATCCTACCCTGGGGTGTGGCTACTTATTAATTTACAGAAGGCTTTTTTTCACTGGACTCTTTACCATACTGCAATATAGTGTAGTGGTTAAGAACAGTGTCTCTGGACCAGGCAGACTAGGCTCAAGGTCAAGCACTGCCACTTAACTAGCCATGTCTCCTTGGGAAAGTCACTTAACCTCTCTGACTCAGCTATCTCATCTTTAAATGGGTACAAAAATAACACCTCACAGGATTGTTTTGAGGATTAGGGAGGTGGGTTATCAGATTATGTAGACGAATGTACCCCCAAAGATGTCATGCTCTAATCCCTGGAACCTGTGTTATCTTATATGGCAAAAGAGGCTTTACAGATGTGATTAAGTCAAGGATCTTGAGATGGAGAGATTATCCTGGGTTACTTGGTGGGTCCTTATAAGTGAAAGAGGGAGGCAGGACAGTCAGTGACACGGCGATGTAAAAGACTTGATCACGCAATTGGCATGGATTAGTGGTTGAGCGTTGACCTATGAACCAGGAAGTCAAGGTTCCATTCCAGGTCAGGACACATGTCCGGTTGCAGGCTTGATCCCCAATGTGGGATGTGCAGGAGGCAGCCAATCAATGATTCTTTCTCATCATTGATGTTTCTATCTCTCTCTCCCTCTCCCTTCATCTCTGAAATAAATAAAACAAATATATATATGAAAAGACTTGATCAGTCTTTGCTAGCTTTGAAGATGGAGGAAGGGGACTATTGAGTTAGGGGTGTGGGCCACTTTTAGAAGCTGGAAAAGGCAAGGATCTAGATATTTCTTATAACTTTCAGAAAGAAGACAATCCTTCTGACATCTTGATTTTGAGTCAGTGAAATCCATTTCTGATTTCTGACTTCCAGAACTGTACAATAATAAGTTTGTGGAGCTTTAAGTAACCAAATTTGTAGGTAATTTGTTATAGCAGCAGGATACTAATCTAGGTGATTATTACCCTATTTACAACTTCTTCACTTCTGGCTTTTCTAAACTTTCTTTCTAGGGCAATGTAATTTTAAACACTCCTCCAAAATCAAAATGAATCTTTTTGTCCATGTGCACACTATTTTCCAGCAACTAGCTACTATTAATGTCAAGGCAGCCACCTGTTAAGAGTAGCTCCTATTGCCAGAGTGACTCAGTTAATTGAGCATTATTCCATGCACCGAAAGATTTTGAGTTAGATTCATGGTCAGGACACATATCCAAGTTTCAGGTTCCATCCCAGTTGGGGAGCTTATGGTAGGCAACCAATGGATGTTTCTCTCTCACTCACATAGAGGTCTCTCTGTCTCTCTAAACATGTCCTTAGGTGAGGAGGATTTAAAAAAAGAGTTGTTCTCCTTCTCTGCAATGGACAATGGACAAGGGGCCTCTGAGGTAAGCTGCAAGGCTATATTTAAAACATCCTCTTTAGGTTTTCCACTTCCACATGGAAAATCATGTGCTTTAATCAATGGCTTATGCAATGAGTTGGGTCATAAAAACCGTGCTCTGAGTTCCTCTTCAGTGAAAAGCGAACTCCTAATTATGGCCCTTTATTATTATTTTTTTTTTTGGCAGGGGGTTCTGAGCTTAACATAGAAGTCCTGGAGTAGGAGTCACTCCTGCTGGTTGAAGGCCCATGAGAATTAGAGTAATTCCTTAACTAATAAAGAATTTAAAGATTAAATAAATAAATAAATAAATAAATGAATAAATTTATAACACCATAAAAAATAAAAATAATAAAAAAATAAAATACTACATGGGTTTAAAAAAAAAAGAATTAGAGCGATAGGACCAGGAGAAAGGGTAGAGAAAAAGAAGTTGGTAAGTCAGAGGGAGGTTGTAAGGAAAACAAATAAACAATCCAGCCAGATAATGGTAAATGAGAGACGGCATCTTCCCGGGCTCTGTTCCAGTTTCTGAAATTTTCCACATAAGACTCAAGGGTGGCGCACCTGCCCCTGGAGGCTGGGCTGGGCCCGCGAGCCTGGGGCAGGCTGGAAATGCCTGTCTGGGAAAGCTACTGCCGGGGCGGGGTGGTCCGGAGATGGTTGGGAGGAGTCATGGGGCGTGAAGAAGAAAGACTACATCTCCCAGGCCTCCACGCTTTCCAGCTGGAGTCCTAGGGCGCTGACTGCTCCCCAGTTTCCGTAGGGAAGCGCCGGGCTACTGCACCTATTGTGTGTCGCGATCTCGCTCTCCGCTTCCCGCTCGGGTGTCTGTGGAGGAAGGCTACGTTTCATTGCCGCCTCGGCTTAACCCCTCCGGTGCCTAACAGGACAGTAAGCCGGCTCCCTGGGATCAGGAAAAACTCCTGGGAGCTGAAGAACTCGGGTAACAAGACCCTAGGGTGCAAAAAAGTCAGTTGAAGAAGGAGCACGAGTGCTAGGGCTCGGCACTCCAGCTTTGCTGGGGTGGGGCAGAGGCGCTGGCTTTAAGAAGGGGGAGGGGAGAGTGCAATCTGGATTGCCCGCGGACTTCGGCAAAGGAAATCTGCGAGCTCGGAAGCGAGGAGCAGGGAGGAGAGAGGAGGGGCGGCTCCCATCCCCAGCTCCCGCCCCCGCCTACACCCTGGGAGGGCTGAAGTATTCACGTTTGCACTTAGAAGGATCCCTCCCGTCTCTGGTGGCGAGCTGGGCTGCGGTTTCTGCTGCCGGTCTGGGGAGGTGATGCCTAGGGGGTATGCTGATTGCTAAGCAGCACCCCGCTGGGATCCGACTGCTTTAGTTACCTTTCCAGGTCACCTGAAGCAATCCTAGGATCGCCCGTTTCCGGTTCAGACCAGCCAGGTCTCCCCAGGAATCTCATCAGAACAGGTATCTGTCCTCCAAGGGGAGGGAGGATGCGAATAATCCATCCCATCAGCTAACCCTACTGTGCCACTGATGTTCTTGGTCTTTGTATCTTTCTTTTCTCCTCTCAACCCCCGCCTTCAGAACCATGGGGCATCCCCCTCTGGAGTTCAGGGACTGCTATCTGGACAGTCCCAATTTTCGCGAGAGGCTCAAGTGTTATGAGCAGGAGCTGGAGAGGACCAATAAATTCATCAAAGACGTGATCAAAGACGGCAACGCGCTAATCAGCGCAATGAGAAGTAAGTGAAAGGCTTGGGGATGAGGTGTGTCCTTCCTTGATCCGGTGGTTCCGGCCTTCAAGCTTTTTTCTCACCGCAGGGGGAGGGGAGGATTTAGAACATTGGGCCTTTACTTTTAGTGGCCTTGACTTTGTAAGACTCGATCTATTGCTGTGCCAGGGACCCTCTTGCTCTGCAACTATCATGGCACATTGTTCCAAAGGGACACTCTGCCTGTACTCTCAGACATGTTTAGCATCCATGCCTGCCGCAAGGGGACATCCAAGCTGACCAAGTAACTGCTCCAGCACCTCCTAAAGAATTGGGAATTAGGGTCAGCAGCTTGAGTAGTGGTTTTGCCCTGGTCTCTAGTTGCTACAGGTAAGTGTGGGGACAGTAAAACATTCACATGGCAAGTTATTTTCTAAGGAAAGCACGTTTGCCCTGGTGATTTTTTTAAGTTACTGAACTATGGTTTTGGTTAAGGTCAGTCTAAGCTCAGAATTACTGGATGGCTTCACATGCCACTGAATTCTGCTTGAGTGTGGAACAAACAAAGACCTGCCTAGTCTCTGGCACAAGGAGCCTACCCCCCAGGGAGCAAATTACAGGGGTAGGGTTGGGAGCCATAGGACTCAAGGAACCTCACCTAGCTTGGCTTTCCCAGTGGTCACAGACAGCTGTGGGATTCCGACCCCCCACCCCTAGTGTGTGGAGTTTTTATTTCTGCAAGTTAGCAGAAGGCTTGGAGTAAGAGAAAGAATAATAAACATCCCCAACAAGAGTGCAGGCAAATCAATCCTTTGTGCCAAAGTATATACCCAGAAGAATGGATAATAGTGATTGGGTGGAGTGATAATTATTTTTTTCTTTTCTTGGCTGAAAGATGATTGTGAAAAATAAAATCAGACTCACTGGCAAAAATGTCCTGTACGCTTATAACTTCGTTCTGAGTGGATTTATCCCGAATACACTGTGTCCAGGTCCAGTGTGGGGACCTTCTTAAGGCAGATGCAGCCAACCAAGAGCAGGGAGGGAGAAAGGCTTGGAGCATCAACACAATGGTAACTACTACCAGCTGGTTTTTGTTATGTAGCTCTTCCAATTTGCCCCTCGGAATCTGTGCTTTCCTGGCACATGCTGTCTGCCTACTTTAGTCAGAATATATAAATTGTCCAAGTGACTGCCTGTCATTTGATTGAATTCCTCAGAAAGTTTCTAGATGAAATTATTTAGAATGGTATGTATGTAGCTGGTTTTTGAAGGTAAAGTTTTTAGACGAGTATACTCGTCGACGACTGAAAAAAGAACATTTTGTGAAAACGTGTATACACGTTTCTGCCGGGGAAGGGGTTAATGGTTTGTCCTGTTGTGGCAGCACCTTAAAGATGGCGTATTTGATGTTGATCCTTAGAGACTTATAGGCTTTGGGATGTTTCTCCACTGAAGAGTTCACTTAAAGATTAAAGATATGCAGGTTGTGCCAGAAAGGTAGTTAGAAAGGTGAGGGTTCACCAAAAGGAAAAGGGGGAAATGTTCGGGTTTTCTTTTTATTTACTTATTCCAGTAAACTGCTTGGTGTAGTATCCAAAGTCAAGTGAAGCTCCTCATAAAGCCCCAGGAAGGAAGTTTATGAAGTATAAGGTAACTTGAAAGTATTTGTGTTAAAATAAAATGACCAGCTAAGGCATATCATAGAGATTAAGATTCATAAGAAAAAGTAAACAATTCAATGAAACATTTGAGGAAGGCAAAAGCTTAGTAAGCTAGGAGCAAGAATTAGTTTTATTCTTTCCTTTTCTGAGTCTGAGGCTGGTAAGAGTCAAAAATTATGCAGGCCTAGACCTTTGAATATGTGCAAAAGATCCAAGAGCTATTTTGACCCAGGGGCCTTCTTGATATTTTACAGTGGTTTTCTGTTTCTGAATATGCATAGAAAGCCCAAAAGAAGACAAGTAGGAAATAAAACCAAGAAGCTAACCCATACTCCATTTCTTTCCTGTAAGTTGCATGATTCTAAAACCGTAATTAGCAAGAGGCAAAGGCTGGATGTTTTTCAGTGTGTTGACCACAGTTATGTTTATACTCCCATTCTGCTTCTTCATGCTGTGCTAGCTGGGCATCGGTTTGAGAGTAGGTGGGGGTGGGAGGAAAACAAATGTAGACTCTTGCTTTGTGTGGAAGAAAAAGAAGAGAACACTGGGAATTGGATTTTTAAGACTTGGTTTACCATCCTGGCTTCATCAATCTGGGATAAGATGGCACAAATCACTTACTTTATCTGTAAAGTAGGGGTAATTATAGCCACCTCACAGGACTTTTTTAAGGCTCAAAGAAGGTAATAGATTATGAAAGTGTTTTGTAAATGGAAAGAGCTAAATATTGTAAGTTGTTCATAATACATCTTCAGTTTAATAATATATCTGCTGGTGAATGTGTACTTGTCAGGAGGTTTCTGAAGGGAAATGCATCAGCAGATATAGTTGGGAGCATATTTTTGTTATCATCTTGTTGGAAAATGTTACAGCAGTTCATTTTGTATTCATGTGTGTGGATTCATTTTGTCACTTGGAGTCTGGCATTAAAAGTCAGGGAAATGATTGATACCTTATTTATTTAAATTATGAAGCTGACCATGGAATCAAATGGCTAGTGTTTCTAGGAATTAATGAAGCATGGTGCATGGTGCTGTAAACCCCCGCTGCAGTTTTTGTGACAGTTGTTAGCCTAGGTGGAACTTGATTTTTACATTTATCCTGCTCAAGTCTGATTTTGTACAGAGCTCTAGATGAGGTTTTAGTCACAACTGTGTGTGATGCTGAATTTATTAAATGTAGGTCCTGTTTGAATATTTAGATTTGCTTAGCTCTGTGCTCAGAGATAATTGAGGTTATTAATGATATTCAACATGTTTTCCTTGGGAATATGGTTGATTCCCCCTTTAAATTTGATCCAATTATAATTGTTGAAGTATAGGATGAAGCTTATAACTTAAAGTAATGAAAATAAACACACTGCTACTCTGAAGGTGAGTAATATTGCCCTTTTTTTCTGTTTGTTCTTTGTTTTTATGTTGGCAGTTTTGGTCCCTGATGTGTCTGAATATTTTCTAAGCTAGGTATTCGGAACAAGTATCCTGTGGCTCCTGCTTATATCCCAATGGAACATGATATACCTTATAAGTGTTATTTATAGTTCCATAAATACATACCATTCATTCAGTAAATATTTTTGCACATACTATGTTTAAGTCATTGTTCTCAGGGCTATTAAATATGTGACAGAGTGAGTCACAGATGGATCCAGCCCTAAGGAGTTCCCAGACAAGATATAGGGAGAGATCAGTATTGTATAAGATAGTAAATATGGATCAGAGCCATAAGAGTGGGACAGGTAGATACCATTGTGTGTGACATCAGAAGGAGAGCTCATTTCCCAATGGGAGGACAAAGAAAAAGGAAGAAAGAGCATTGGAATTGGTCAGAATGAATAACACTTACCACTTGTTTAACTGTTCCCACGTGTAATGTATTCAAATCTTGCAACAGCCTTAAGAGGTAAGGATTATTATTCTCATGTTATAGATGAGAAAACTGACCATTAGAGGCCTTATATAACTTTCTCTACTAATAAGGGCAAAAGTCTGAATTAGAACCCAGACCTGACCCTAAAGCCCTGCTTATTTCATTACATTGCACTGTATTTAGGACAGGGCATTTATTGGAGTAGTAATGACACAGAATGTAAAGGGACAGCAAATAATTCAAGTCATATGGAATATGAGGTGCAGGAAGGGAAGTTTGGGAGATAAAGTTAGAATGGAGGGTGAGGAACTGTTAAATACTTCAGACTTAAAAATATATATATATATATTTTATTGATTTTAGAGAGGAAGGAAGAGGGAGAAAGGGATAGAAACATCAACGATGAGAGAGAATAATCGATTGGCTACCTCCTGCACACCCCACACTAAGGTTCGAGCCTGGAACTCGGGCATGTGCCCTGATCGGAAATTGAATTGTGACCTTCTGGTTCATAGGCTGATGCTCAACCACTGAGCCACACTGACCGGGTACTTCAGACTTTTTAAAATTAAACTTATTGGGGTGACATCATATGATTCTTAACTTTTTCTGTCTGACTTATTTCACTTAGCATAATATTCTCAGGGTCCATCTATGTTGTTGCAAATGGCAGTATTTCATCTTTTCTTATGGCTGAGTAGTATCCCATTATATATATGTACCACATCTTCTTTATCCAATCATCTATCAAGGGACACTCCAGTAGTTTCCATGTCTTGGCCACCATGAATGATGCTGCAATTAACTTTTCTTCATAAGCAGGGAGTACTAAAATGTTTTTGATGGGAGAGAGGCATGGATTGAGCTGTGTGTTATAAAGATTCATCTGATAGTGATGGGTAAGGTGTTAGCAATTTCACACAAATATTCGTGAGTTTTCAGCAGTTAATTGGCAGCTTAAATTTTCTTTGATGTAGCACAGGGGTCTGCAAACTTCTATAAAGGGTCATATTTTAGGCTTTGAGGGCCATGCAGTCACTGTGGCAATTAACTAATTGCCATTGTTATGAGAAAACAGGTATAGATAATACGTATATGAAATGAGAATGGCTGTCTTCTAATAAAACTTGATTAGCATTGAAATGTGAGTTTCACATAACTTTTATATGTCACAGAATATTATTCTTCCTTTGAATTTTTTAATTGTTTAAAAATGAAAAAACCATTGTCAGCTCAGCTAGGGTACATACAAAAATAGGTGGCTGGCTGGGTTTGTCTCTGGTTGTAGTTTGTGGACCTCTGATATAACTAGTTAACCTAAAAAAAAAAACCTAAGTGGATTTTTATGGGTAAGGCAGTGAATATAGCTATTGGGAAAATATTTCACATTTTCTATAAACTAGTTTTACTTTGTCATGCTGTTAATTATGCCTGCTCTAGATTCAGGGATCACAGGCTCAAATGCTGTGAGAGGCCAAGGAGAAAACAGAAAAATATGAAGCTCTTGGAAGTGGGTTAATAGGATTGGAGTGATTGGGGTAAAATATGGCAGCCTTACCCCATTCAAAAGGTCTTTACTGCCGTAACCGGTTTGGCTCAGTGGATAGAGCGTTGGCCTGCGGACTGAAGGGTCCCCGGTTCGATTCCGGTCAAGGGCATGTACCTTGGTTGCGCGCACATCCCCAGTGGGAGGTGTGCAGGAGGCAGCTGATCGATGTTTCTCTCTCATCGATGTTTCTAGTTCTCTCTCTCCCTTCCTCTCTGTAAAAAAATCAATAAAAATATATTTTATAAAAAAGGTCTTTACTTACTTTAAAAAAAATGTGCTACCTAAATAAAATATATTCATAGCCTAAATTCAATTAGGTTGCAACTCCTGAGCTAGATGATCTAGCTGTATCAGTCTGTGAGTCTTAGATTTTAACTGGCTGGGAAAGTGGAAGGTAACAGAAATTTCTCTGTGGAAGTACCACTGTACACTGTTTGCAAGTGATTAAGGAAGGAGGATGGTATAATGGGAAAAAAATCATAGAAATTATGTCTAGATATCTGGGTATGGTGCTAATTCTGCTTCTAATGGAATCTGTGACCTTGGTAAGTTATTTCACTGGGGCCCTAGGTCTGCAGCTTTATAAAGGTGGGGACCTATAAGCTCACATTCAGCTCTAACATTCCATGACTTTTTAAAAAAAATCCTCGTCCAAGGTTATGTTTTTACTGACTTTTAGAGAGAGAGGAAGGAGGAAGAGATAGAAGGGGAGGGAGAGAGGGAGAGAGAGAGAGAAAGATAGAGAGACACATCAATGTGAGAGAAACATCGATTGGTTGCTTCCCGTATGCACCCTACCTGGGGATTGAACCCACTATCTAGGTATGTGCCCTGAACAGGAATTGAACCCACAACTTTTTGGTATATGGGGCAATGCTCCAGTCAACTGAGTCATCTGGCCAGGTCTCCTGACTTTTTTTTAAATTGCATTCTATATTGTATTTTAATCATTTGGGAAATGAATAAGCCAATTATAGCTTCTAACTTTATGCCTACATAAAATTGCAAAATTATTTTAGTGTTCATGACAATATTTAATTAACAATTTTTATTTTTTTATTATTTTTTAAAATATATTTTATTGATTTTTTACAGAGAGGAAGGGAGAAGGATAGTTAGAAACATCAATCAGAGAGAAACATCGATCAGCTGCCTCCTGCACACCACCCACTGGGGATGTGCCTGCAACTAAGGTACATGCCCTTGACTGGAATCAAACCTGGGACCTTCCAGTCTGCAGGCTGACTCTCTATCCACTGGCACAGAGAGAACCTGGGTGTTTGTTCCAACCCTGCTATTAGCTAGCTATATAACATTGAATAAGCTTCTAGTTTCATCAGCCTGAGTTTTCCCATTTGTAAAATTAGAGGTCTGGTCATTGAGCTTCAGGGTTCCTTTTGGCATGATCATTTTTTCTGGACTGTCAACTGTCTTGCTCAAATAGTTAGACCAACCTCAATAGATTCTAACAAAAACTTTGGAGCCAATTTGTCTTTAATCTGGGAGAATGGGCAAAAGGAAAATCTAACTGCTGTGTCCAACATGAGCAGATGACTTGAACTGTGTTAGCCTATCTGATTATCTTCTTGAATGTATCTTGACAGGTGTTAACCTGATGCCCTTCAATTCTGTCCTGAATAGCTCTATAGTGAGGGAGAACAAAGCATTTAATCCCTTTGGGGTGGGTGTAGTGCCATGGTGTACAAGGAGGAGTTGGTTATGTAATATACATTCTCAGTCTGCCGACATCCTGTCATGATCCCAGTGATATTTGATTAGTGCCTTGGAGCACATGGAGTTATTTTAGATATCCTCCAGAATAACTCAGATCAGTGTAATGAGTATGTGTTATGGTACTGATGTTAGTAGAGATGAAGCAATGTCAAATGGAATTTGGTGGAGATTATGTTGTCATGTTTATTGGAGGCCCTCAGCAAACCAGATTCCA